ATTGTTAATTACAGGTTCCACCAACTTTATGAAATAATGTTTGAAAGTCATGTCAAGTTACCCCGTTGAGTATACCGCGAAATTCGAAAAGGCCGAAGCACGCAAGATCAATATCAAACGTGTGAATATTTTTTAGATTTTGAAATTTTTAAGATGGGTCTAAAAATTGACCTCAAATATATCATAGTGTTAAAGTACGTTGCCAAGTTGGAATGACGCATAAACAAATAACAAATCAACTCAGGGGCAAGTTCTCATTTTTCAAAGTACAGTCCCTAAAATAAGTAATTCCGTCAGAAAAAGGAATCAGACCAGAAATTTGGACATGCCACAGCCCCCGAACACTCCCTTTGACTCGAGTGCTTCACAATGTCAAAATTAATGCGACCTACATATTATGTGGACGAGGTTTTAAAACCACTTTTGGAAAAAGAAATTCCAAAACTCTTCCCTCGGTGAGACTCAGAAGGTACTCGTCCATCATGAGCCGCGTGCTCTGACACCGCTCGGCTTACTGCCCACTACGCAGCCGCATTAAAATGGAAACTCAGAATTACAATTATTCCTAACAAAGAGATACCTGCTAAGTCCTCTGGCTTTTTTTGGTTTTGGAACCTTATAACAGGCAATGTTTAAGAGGCGACCTCCCACTCTGCATGGACCGTGCAAAGTTTTGCAAGAGGAGTGGAGTAAAGCGACGCCTGAAATGTGTGTTAAAGTCTTCGATTCTTTGAAGCCACGACTTCGTTTCTTCTCAGAAAAGGATGGGGAACACGTGGAAAACACAAAAAAAATTCACTGACGTCCCATTCGACGACAAAATTAAGGTCAAACATTATTTCATAAAGTTGGTGGAACCTCTGTAAGAATGTTGCAGAGACAAATTGTAATGAGTTCTGTTCCCAGTCTTATAAAAATTTATTACTTTTTTTTATCCACGGTTTAAGGCCGATTAGGCAAATCCTTAATGCACTATTATTGGTAATGGTCCTAGTCCTCATGCACGATATTACCCCACTAAATATTTATAAGTTATTAACCGACCGAGGAAAATAATCATACTTATTTAGTTCACCTCTCATCCGGGATACTAAATATTTTTCCTATCATACTTTATCATCAATTTCGAAAAGTATCTGAGCAAAGGATCTTTCAGCCAAATTCTATTCTCAAACTATTTCGAAAGTTTCTTAAAATATATACGAGAACGATGTACACATTATATTCCGTCCAGTTTACTATACTCTGGCTTCTGTACACGGGAAGTTGTATCAAACGTTCAGTTCCACTTTCCACCATAAATGTACCATTGGTTTTATCCCCTCAAACCCCTTGTCGACATCACCTCGTCTTCAACAATGTCTCCAGCGAAGACTTGCCAACTACCCGCAACGTCCCTCTCACATTGACCAAACATTCTTTGACCGACAATTTTAATAAATACATACAACCAGATAATCTCCAAGGGTTTGACATCCTCAAAAATAAGGGATGGCTTTGCGAAATGGTCATCCTTTTTGTCACCTCCAATTCTCACAGATCTACCAAATCCGACGCAAAAGCGATAGGATATTGGATTCAGACTCAGAGTAATTATTATTTTAGATTTAATAACCAATTCATACTGGAAATTTACCCAGATGATTTTTACTTCTTATTGATTCCCAGTAATCCCAAAATTTTGCTTTCATCCGTCAAATTACCATTTTACTCACAACCCTTCACCTTTGCGCATATTTTACCCGTAAAATTATCAATTTTAATATTTCTTCCTGGAAATGAGGCGAAATTGTGTCATCAAGTAAATCTTGGAGAAATCCATGGTTGCAAAATTTTGTCTGCCAGACAATTTCTTCAAAAGTGGATAGGATAGAATTTCCCCCATTAATATACCCCTCAATATCGGAAAGTAATTGGATCGATTACACTGGTGGAGACAAAAATCATAAATTATCAAGAATCTTAATAAATACGGCGTTACATAAACTTAATGCCACCACACATCCTGTTACCATTAGTGAAAAGTGTTACTCAGAAGAAATGAAACCTTGCTTCTACCCGACATTCCGTGTGGAGCATTTGCAGGTCTACGATTTTAGTCAGTCACAAGTTGTGATAACTAGTTTTCCTGGCTTGTCTTTCTTTTCATGTTACCTAGAATTTAATGGGATGACATTTTCCCTGTATTTAGCCCCATATGATTCCACAGTGTGGATTGTTACAGTAATCATACTTCTCATATCAGTATCCCTCCTGTGTTTGGGACGTCAGCTAGACAACAAAAAAATCTACCCGATGCAACTTCTCTTATATTTTTTAGGCTGTCTGATTGACGAGGTTACTTGTCTCCCGAAAATGTTAAAAAATTGCCTTCCTTTTCGACTTCTAAGTATTCCATGGCTTTTGGTCGAAATGCTGCTAAGCACTTGTTACCTGAGCTTGTTTATCACGAATTTGAACTCCCCACTTCCAGGGAAAAGGGTTGATTCGTATGATACAATTTCGTGTCAAGAGAAATTTACGGGCAATTTTAATTATAGTCTGATCATAGAGAGGTACTACTCAAGATGGTTAACACAGGTTCCTCCCAAGGTGGGAGGATACTGTTACACGATTTTGTCTCAATTTCTGCCTTTCGCCGGGAGAAAGTATCACCTTTATAATTACAAGTTTTCTGGTTATTTGGAAAACGAGGTGCGCTTTTACGTTGACAAAATTCCAAAGCATTTACAACAATTGTTGTATTCTTTGTGGAATCCAAAGATTCGTTATTATCCGGAGAAGTTGGAGCTGGTGACTGATCTGAATGCGAAACCGGTTAATTGGATTATTGAAGATGAAATTTTACAGTGTGATAAATCTGCTTATATCGGACCGTCAAATGAGGTGGACACTTATTACGAATACTTGAGGAGAAATTATCCCATGAAGAAATGGTATCGAGGAGAGAAAACCATTTTTGAGTGGCCTGTCGGATTTGCCTTTCTGATTGAGAGAGAATCACGAATGGTGCGATATTTTAAAACGTTTTTGGAGACGAGGATTTATAATCAGGTTTCTAAACAGCTCAACCTCAATGCGACGGTAATTCGGGAGAGAGAGGCTAAGTTGAGGAATGGTGAGAAATTTCGGGATTTAATACCCTTCAAGGCGGTTCGAGTTGAGGATAGTATTCAGACAATTTTCATGCTGCTCGGAATCTGTCTGGCATCCTGTATATGCTTAGCAATCTTGGAGTATGCTAAATATAATGGCGCATTACTCTCCAAGAGGAGAAAGTTAATTTTATCAAGAAAATAATAATTAGGGGTGACAAGAAACCTTGAACGAATGTTAATATGTTTTTGAGATGAAGGTGTCGTACGAGAAATTAGGCAAACAGGCCGAGTTTTGACCTCGACGTATCTTAGCACAATTATATTCAGTTTTATATTCCAATTTAAGTTAATTATATTCTCCTGATGAAGGGTCGAGTATTGAACACGAAAGCTTGAGATAATACAAATTAAAAAAATTAATTCCTTGAGCTCCACTAAAATATTAACTAATTTGTAATTGAATTTTGTTTATGCAACCTGATGAAAGATTATGAAACCAGGCGTTGCTACGAATTATCAGAATTAATGTATCGAATTCCATTTTGAAGTGTTTCCTTTACTCTAAAGCAAAAATTCTGTGGAAGTCGCTTCCGAGGTTAATAAATATGAAAATCTCGCTGCAACGTAGAAGTGCTAAGAATTCCAGGAGTTCTTGTTTTGAAGTCTTGACAGGAATTTTGAAGATGCGAACTAATTCTAATTAATGGAACACAAAGAATTAGCAAGGTTTCAGATAGGAAGGAATCAGAGGAAGGAATATTTCCATATGGATATGTATTCAAGACTAAAGTCAGTGCAAATAAAATGGGTTAAATCGATTTTAAAAATCGGTACTGTCAAGTATTGAGCAAAAGTAGTGGATTTTAGATTTTTTAGCTTTTCGCTTTTTTAGATTATTTTTCCAAACTTGTAAGTCCCTAGTATATAACGTCCAGTTTACTGTACTCTGGCTTCTATACACGTATACTTTTCCATATATGATGTGCATATTTATTATGGTCACTTGTGGAAGAGCATGGTCGCTGTACTGTGAACTTGTTAGACCCGTGAAAATAAAGCATAATCAAATCAAATAAAAATCAGAACTTAGGCCCATTTGGAATCAAGTATCGCCTGCACTTTGGCCCGAATTAGTACGACGATATGCTGCATTTATTTTCCTTTTTCATTTGCAAATTTCTCAGAAAAAGTTTTAGGTTTTGTCGTTAATTTATGTCGAAACAAAAATAATTGTTTTCAAATTAATGCTGTGAGTCGCTAACATACATAAGATATATTTTTTAATGGGGGACCTCAGTCATGTCTCAAATATTTCGCTTAGGTCGCTTGGTTAGAAATTCCGCTTGCGTCAACCAGTATGCGCATGAGACAGCCAATCAAAATGCCCCATTTTAAGCCGACTAAAATTCTTGAGAGCGAGGCTCAAGGGTAGAGTTAGAGTAGCGAAATTCTGAAATAACCATATGTCTTTGTTTACCCCGTGTTAAGTCACTTGAATTTCGAATCTCCCACCAAATCTCAACTGTTCGCTTCATAAGTGAGATTTTTTAAGAGAGGTGAGTTCAGACAGAGCTGCCTCGCTTGTGCGCCTACGAAGCGACAAGCGACGTAAGCGAGAATTTTTAGAAGTGACTGAGGACCGCCAATGTGTTTCAAATTCTTGTCTCCATTCGCTGTATACGACACAACGTAATAATTTTTTGGATTGTTCGGATTTCTTTATTTATGCAGGACGCAAACCTTAAGAAACCGTTCATCACGAGCATATGTACAATTAAACCCGAATTCTTACTGTATATAACATCCCTGTAGTTGGTTCACGATCTAGGAAAATCTAATTATTGTCTCCATTTTCATTAATCATATCTATTCGTAACAATAAGAATCATTTATAATTTAATCTTAACATTTTTTTGAAAACACGATTTGCCATTCTTGCAAGATTCTAAGTTTTGCCATTGTTGCCGTCATTTGGGTGAAAAACTCCGACCATGGACAATACTCTTGGCCATATTTTTCTACAAATGTGTCCCTGTATTTCCGATCTTTTTCGCCCCAAGCGAGAAATGTTTTTTCATAATGCCGTCCAACATCTGTTAAACTCTCCATCACAAAATATTTTTCCGTCGCTGTAATAATTTCAGATAAATTGGCAAACCTCACCAACGGATAAATACCGTTAACGTTTCCCAACCTAGAATCGTACCGGCCAGCAACTTGAATTACAAAAGTCCCATTATTTTTCAAAAGGTTGGCAATATTTGCAAAAAACCTTTCATAATCTGACTTCCCAATACATTCCAGAACACTGTTTACTATAACACCATCAAATTTCTCGTCTTCGTTTTCCATCAGGTCGGTACAATTCGAGAGCTGCATGTCTACCGTACTTCCGACGCAAAATTTCCGCGCATAATCCAGCTCTGCTTTCGACAAGGTCGTCCCAACGACATGAACGTGATAATTGTCCGCTAAATATTTCGCCAGGGCGCCACAACCAGCTCCAATCTCGATAAGTCGCATACCCGGGGAAAGCTGCAACATTTTCGCGATCATTTCAAACTTGTTTCTCTGAGCTGTGTCCAAATCATCGGATGGGGAAAGCCAAACCCCGTTGGAGCAGATTATTCCTAAATCTGTACCACAGGTCAGTTCTAGGTCCTCGAGATCTGCATTAATTAGATTTACTTGTTTGCATAAATATAAGTCAAATAAATGTGGATGAGTGTGGTAAATAAATACCAGAGTTGTAATAATTAGGGTCCTCAGATTTCATTTCAAACAAGTCCAACTCCAAATATGCCAAAAAATCTTTGTACATTGTAATGAATTTTGGTGTGGCGTTTCTTGTCAGAAAAATATTCTCGAAAAACACGTCCAACTTTTTTACTTGGATCCAGCCCTTCTTGTAGCTTTCGCTCAACCCGAGAAGAGATTTTGTTGCGACCATGGTGTAAAATCGGGAATCGGTTACGACAGCGATCTCCTTATTCTCCTCGTCAAGGCGACATGCGCGACGTACCAGGGCAGAAATTAGGGAGATGGGAAGCATTCGTATTATCGAAGCTTCCAAGAATAACAACATTTTTATGGGGAAAATAGAAATTCTGCGGGTAATATGCCACATCATGGTTTTATGTAGCTTTAAGCAGTTTAAACCGTAATTCCTTAAGAGACGTGAAATCTATCTGAATAAGATAAGTACTAGTGAAATGATATTTTACTCTGGACTTTATTCACTAACTGGAAAAGCTGACGAAATTTAATGCCATAATAAAGAAACACTGTGTTTCATTCTTACATAAATGTAGGTAGGATGTAGGCACAATAAACAGCATCCTGTCTGTAATTAACAATTTAATAACAATTACATAAGTTTATGGGTAACTTTCTAATTAACAAAGTAAACCGCATAGATTTCTTTATTATTATTACGCAACATTCAATTTCAGTATTAAAATAACCTTCTCATTATTCATACACTTTTAAAAAAAATATTTTAATACCGAGTTATCTCGGATACTCTATAAATACTATACCGCACTGGTAATAAATTTATTATAAAGAATATTTTTTAACCTATTGTTGCATTGTTTATCAAACCTAATAAAAATGATTATCACTCGATTAGAAATTTATGTGGACGTTATGATTAAATGTGGCGTACACTCTAACAAACCTGGCATTGATAAAAACAACCGGTATTTATACATGGCTTTACCGCTTTGGTATTAAAACCGTTGGTGTAAATCCGGTGTTAAAATGATGGTTTGTAGTAATTATTTCAATACTTATCGATATTAGATGTTTTACCATAGAAATAATACATGTCACGTGGAACAGCCAGAAATCAATAATGAAGGCTATATATTTCATTAAGAGTGTAAACACAGTAACCCGTTGTTACCCAAGACTTTAGAGTATATATCAGGCTGAATGAAATTATTATACAAAGCACAACCACCATTTTTATTATGAAATTGTTAAGTAACCCTCGCATTTACATAGCCTTTATTGTTCGAAATTTTTGGAAAGTATTTAATTGTTTATTGTGTCATAATTGTGTGAACCCGTTGAGAGTATGGAAATGAAGCCAATACTATGACAAACGAAATGCTTGTTTTCTTCCTGTTAACGATGGCATGTTTACTTGGGCATGTAATATCGAAATTTCGAGATCTCGAAACATCGAAATCTCGGCCCTTATCTTCAAAGCGAAATATCTAAACATCGACTTTTCTGTTAATTTAAAAATTAACAGAAAATCAAACTACAGTCGGCGCCGATGGTTTAGCTAATTATTCATTTGCGCGTCGTCTACCCGTCAGAAACCATACATACCACTTCCGCACAAAAAGTGGGGATCTTTTTAAAGTATGTGTATACATATGTCGTACGTCGGTACATATGTTTATGCATGCTTCAGAAAGTTATTCTGAATAAATTATTATTCTGAATAAGTTATTCTGAATTTATTTACGTTTACGAGACAAATATAAATAGCTAATAGACATCATTGCAATAACCTGACATTTTCCTCGAAAAATGTACATATTCTTCATAAATACTTAATAGATAATAAAAAATAAATTCGTAATTTTTTAGTGAGGAGTTTAAGCTATATAACTTGCTTGTTTACAGGCAATAAGTTTTAATAGTTTTGTTTCAGATGTAAAGTTACGGAAAAAGACCTATATCGGATCCACCTTTGGCCTGGGAATCGTCATGACAACGACACACATCGGCAGCACAACAATGACTGTAAGCATCCCGTGGAGGAGAATCTCAACAACATTTTTCGAGTTTGCAAGGTTATCCAAAAGTAAGCACCTAATTTTTAGGCAACATTCCTGAGCAGAAATGCCAACATTCAATTAAAACGCTGGAATGTCACGGAAAACTTGGCAACAGAGCCAACTTTTCGAAATTATAATATAGACACATAGATAAGTATTTTTTGTAAATGGGTGGGGACGATAAGCAAAACATTCGTGTGTCACGAATGGTGACTGCACTCAGAAAAAAATTGACACCAAATTGACACCGAGCGGTGTCTATATGTAACTCTACCGGTTTGGTGTCAAATTGACACGACTTGGTGTCAATTATTCTTAACTCCGTTACGGTGGCACATCAACATTTCGGGGTGACAATTCCAACACGACAATGTAGCAGCACGAGGTTCCAGGGTATGTTGGCTCAACACCGTTTTGTGTATGCTTGGTGCATTAAAATAAATGAGCTTATCACCACGCGGTAATACATAATTACCGCATGGTGGCAACCCAGCGCTTGGTTCTACAGCGCTTTGACATAAATGGTAATAAATTTTTGTAATTTGGAATCAATTTATGGTAGCGAAATAGGGCTATAAATTTCTTAACTTTACATATCATACATACATACATTGTTATCGTTTATAAATTTTAGATTCATTAAACAATGTCTAAATTTGGTACTTCAAGTTAAATACATACATACATAAAATATTCATAAAATATTCACCTATATAGAAATTATTAACTAACAGATTAAATATGATGCCTTAATGCAATGAAAGTTGCGTCATGTTTACAATTATCCATTAATTCCATACAAGTAAATGGTCACAGACAATGAAGAAACGAGACAAGTTGTTTTTTCACTTCCAAGACATAAAAGAATAAGCAGATTTCCACGTGTCCAGAATTGATTGCAACGGTGTCCCCTCCTTAAGAAAACAAATAAATTTAAATCTGATGAAAATAAACAATATTTTTGCATGGGAAACCTGCCCTACAATACGAAACGAGTCTTGTCTTGTCTTCGTCAATATTGCAGAGGTTCCCCTTTGCTTTTCCTTGGGCGGTATCAAATGAAGCAGCGTCAACAGTGCTCCAACTGCTTGATCCCATTCGCCTTGCAAGAATGACATCAGGCATGACTACAATAATTCAAATTAGCCCTCACAAAAATATTAACTAATTTTATACCACAGTCTTCAGTTAGAAATTTTAACAACGGAGGAGATTGATTAATAGATTTTGCCTGCTGTACGATATTTTGTGCCCAAGCTTGTCAGGAGTTCAAAAACTTGTTATCCTCGGCCGGCTAAACATTTAAGAATTCTAAATTGATCTGGTAAAAAATTTAGTGTATATTAATTATGAAAAGCTTAAATTTTCCTAATATTTAACTGCACTCACCATTTGTGGCTTGATTCCCTTTAAATTCCGGTGAATTGACCGAATACGAGAATGGATCATTCCTGAACCGTTTACTTCATCATAAAGAATATCCTGGAAAGAAGCGAAATGATTATTTTTTCTGTACAAATTTCCTATCGTGTTTTTCAATTTATCTTACAACTCCGTTTTCCGAACCAGTGTATTTCCAGGAAGGAATGATAGAAATAATGGCAAGGGCGACTTGCTTTCGGTCTTTGGTCGAGGGCGACTCTCTGTTCAAAACATTAAACAAAAATTTAACCCAATCACATCTCAATTAAATTTAACTTCCCCTTAAGCTCGATTAACTTTACCATAAAGAATTTGATCAGGGTGGACGACGTTGAATTAGCGACAAAGCCTTTATTATTACAGTCGCAGACCTATCGATTTAGCTCCGAGTCACTTTGTAGCAAATCTGAAACACGTGCGGCGTTAATGATTATTAATTGAATGAATTATTAATAAGCTAATTTATTTATCACAAACCTGAGTAAACTGAGTTGGATATAGGACAGCTGAACTCGTAGATAGTTTCGACATCAAATCTTCTTGTTTGCTTGAGTTTCTGCCTACAAATTTAAAAATGCAGGGTTTTAGCAATTTCTGAATGAATTTGGAAATTTAAGCAACTGCAAAATAGTAATCATACAGCATATTTGTAGTGGAGAAGTTGAAATTCCGGAGTAATCCAGTGTAACTTCCTCTTATCCCTCCACCTTAACAATAAACTCTATGTTGGGAGTGGTTGCTGCTGTAACAAGACCGGGAACGTCGATCTCGGCTCCTTGGTCGTCCTGAATACATATTTCAAGGCACGGTTCTATGTCGAATTTTTTCTTGACTGAAACATAAAGCAATTTTGCAATTAAAATAATTCCACGGCGTAAAGTATATTAACAAAATTTGTAAAGCTACGCAATTTACCTCAATCTAGAAATTCAAAGTAGTCTCCACTAAAAACAATCGACTTCGAATTCGACATCGACACACGGATTATTTTATCCATATTTTCACATGTGCAAGGAGAAAAAGCTGATTAAAATCAATCGATAGGTCGCGCTGGTGAAACAAACTGACACAATCTGGTGTTAAATGATACTGTTTGGAAGGAATCTGCATTACGAGTTCGTAAATGTAAATGATACCGTTGGGGTGTCAACGTTAAATCTTCGGGGTGTCGTTTTTAGCTACCAGCTTGACACCAGTTGAGGAACTAAGACTGTCACCGATGGTCGGTGTCAATGAAATTTGAGGTTTTGTTACCGGTTTGCTAAGAGTGTGACTATGAAGGAACCATGTATGTATAAAGGAATCTCTACTTCATCAAACTATAAAGCAATTTAAGAGAAAAACAAAATTCCGCTGCGCCATATCATTTTTTACAGTTGCTAAAGCAGTCCTACAAATATTTTGTTTCCATCCATCAATCGATCCATTTTACTATCTAAATAATTAATTAAGCAGTTCACTGACACAAACTTATGGTTCTGTTTTACTTGTTACTAACAAGTAGTTAGTAGACAGATGAATAAATACAGTACAGAAAATATCTACAATGGTGGGTGAGTCGTTGCTTGATAAATCAGTTAAATAATGAGAGAAATCCCCCAATATTCTAAACTAATCCATACTGTTGTCGCCCATACTGAGGATGACATTCTCGAGTGAATTGCTATCTCTATTTATCTATGTTCGGATGCCATCCTGCTTACTCCTAGCGATTATTGTGCTCCGTACTTTGTACCAACTCACGCCCGTTTAGCGTTCTTTTGGACTAGATTCACCTCTTGTCATCAATGGGTGTAATAACATTACTTGGCTTTTCAACTCTTCTTCTTACCCATCATGCCCAGACGTCCCACGATCCTCAGATTGGTGCTGCTAGCTATCTGGAGAAACACAATTTCCATCCTCCTCCTGAGTTAGACGTGGTCAAACTCCTAAATGGTGTCTCCACTTCCTGTGATGTCAACATAGCCTACAGCAATAGCTTAGAGAAGGAAACTGCGGATTTCTATTTCAACCCAGTTGCAGAATGCCACTGGCCTACCACAATCACCGCACTAAACCATCAAGGGATGTTGAACTCCTCCATACAAATGGCTTTGGACATCCTTAGATGTCGAATATCGCCAAGTTGCAGGATCCCTGTGGTTGTACCCTCAGAAGTTCCAATTATCAAATCATTCTATGAAATTCATCATATTGCCACCTTTGCAAAATATAAGCTACTTCACTTTCTGAATGACTGGTCGTTCCATCTTGAACCAACTTCATTTCCACCCATCACAATATTCTTCACAATGCCCAATATTCTGTTAAGAATGACGGACTACATACTTTGCGGGATTGGTAGGGATGGTAAACCTGTCCAGCCTGCACCTCGTTACTACATCGGTCCGAAGGATATCGTCATAGCGATTTACCCCACGGTGGATGGGCCAATTTCTATTTGCGTACACGTTATTCGGGGAAATAGTGCAAACGTTTTTCTCCCACGTCCTAAACTTCTGTGCAAGTCAGGCAAGGACACTGATTTCATAGAAATGGTGGCAAAATTCAAGTTGCCCCACGTTGCGTGGTCCGCTTATGTATCGCCCTGGGATAATGCGAAACAGGAGGAAATGCTAACACCAAATTCCCTTCGCGAGTTCAATTTTTTAACCTTGAGTCCTTTTAGTCTTGAGCGGCGAGATGTCCAATATCATCTGTTCCATCAACTGCTTCTACATGGAGGCGTCGTAAACGCTACAGTTCGTACGTGGGCGGCCCCGGAGTTCCTTAATTCCGTTGTTTGGACAAGCGCTGGAGATTTTACCCTATTAAGCAGCCGGAGGCACTACGTTATTGAGACCATAACACCCAGCAGAAGCGGAGTACAATTCCTGACCTGTTATGAAGAGCGATTCATATCTTTCCAGTTCTATCTTATCCCATTCCAACCTGCTTTGTGGGTAGGGATCTTGTTGTCCATAACGATCGTAGTGTCAGCCCTCTTCCTGTACAACAAATACCATTCTCCAATTGACAAACGCATTTCCTACGCCCCTTGGGTTCTTGTCCTTGGAACCATTTTCGATGAACCAAATTCCATACCGGGGTGCGTGGAAGGAAAGTCATTTCACCGACTCGTTTTCGGATGCTGGACATTGATGGCAATATTCCTCACGAATTGCTACACTGGGCTAGTGATTACTGAGCTGAATGCCCCACATCCCAGCGTACAACCGGAAACTATATCCGATTTGGCTTGTGGGGACCATTTCCGTCCTACTGGGAATATCACGAAATGGGCAGAAGCCGAAAATATCTTAAAGTATTGGAGTCCATTGCACAGGGCAATTTCATTGGGTTATTACAATAAGACTGTTTCTCAAATGTTGGAAAATCCTTTCGAGTCTGAGGCTTGTTATCGATTACTCTCTCCACCTCTGGATTCGGTACCTTTTTATTTTAATACATCTAGTGGCAGGGTCTTTCCAAGTACTTACATCTTCCTTAAGATTTATGCTGTTTTCAAGGATATGTTTATTCAGAAGGATTTGAAAGATGTTGATCATAAAGCGTACCCAGAAATGTTGCTCCTGCGTCCTGGCCACATGCATCAAAATGCTTTTAGACTGTCCATTCCAAGTAGAATCTGACTATGGAGCAATTGATAACGCAAATGAATAGGGAGAATGAGCGCGAACTGATGAAATGTGGGAAATCCGTTCGCATCTCGTACCCTTACCACATTTCCAACGAGTTTCAATTCATCACTAGAAATATGCCTGGAAAAAGAAAAAGTTAGTGAAGGGAAGGGAAGTGTTGGGGCATGACTGGGTATCCTGGTGTTTTCGTCGTGTACGCGGAAGTAAAATCCCAAGGTATTTTGCAGCAATGTTGCCATCGGGGATATGGAAACGACTTGAAATTGAAATAACTGCGGGAGTGAACAGAGGCCGAGAACCAGTCGTCCATCCACCTAAAGCTGGTCGTTATGTGGAAAACACTGTCTCCCAAACGGTGAAAAGTGGATTGGTCACCCTCTTCATTCTCTGCGCTTGCGTAATTCTAATATCGGCTTTATCCTATACTGTGGAATGTTATCAGTTCATAAAGGTAGTTATTTTACGGTGGATTACGGTTATTTTACGGGGTTAAGCCACACAGGATTGGATTCTGTAAGGGTTACACGTTTGGCAGGAAACATCGAACAATTTTGAGAGTTATCGTCAGTGTTATGTAAGTTAACGTAACGAATTAATCAATATTTTTACAATATAAAAACTATCTAATAACTCAAAATAAAATTAAAAACTTGTCAACAATTATTTAACTTATGTTAGTCACAAAACTTGGCAGAAATGCTTACAAATATTATCTGACGGTTATTTTTATGGACCTTTCCCGTAAGCACTGGGAAGCTGAATATTTGGCAAACTCAACTCAGTATTTAATTGACAATAGGGCTATTAATTTTCGCATGAGTGAATTTTGTTCGAAAATGTGGATTTATAAGATTTTTATGAATTCTAAAGACTTGGTTTGCTGCAATTCTTTTGGTAATCTAAGTAACGTAACTATCAATTACTTACTGTACGAGGGGAGGTCAAAAAGCTTCAATCCTGAACATGATGCTGCAATAAATTAAGGATACTTGCCATACTATTTTTAAATACAATCCCCTGCGACCTCAACACACTTGCTCCACTTTGATTCCAATGACTCTATCCAAGTTTTATAAAATGTTTCATCTTGTTGGTCAAAAAACGAACAAACTGTTGCTTTTGCCTCCTCAATTGCTGAAAATCCCCTGAGGTTTTTTTTAATGTCGAAAGAGGTAGTAATCACTGGGTGCCAGGTCTGGACTGTAAGGGGGGGGGGGAATAATTCTGTTAGTTTTTGGCTTGCAATAGCATCCTGTGAAAGTTTGTTAGGTGGAGCGTTGTCGTGTAAAAGTAGCACGCGACGCCATCTTCCTCCTCTGATGAAGGTTCGTCGATCGCCGATTACAATTTGGGCGGATTTGGGCCTCCCGAAAATATGGACGCCTTTATTATCTGAGCATTACTTTTTGGACAGAAAATAATTGGAAAGGAAAATATGACGAGAAAGTAAGAAGAAGACAAAGAAGAAGAAAAGAAGCATTTTTTGTGTGGGGGAAAGTGGGGGATTATATGATAAGTTCTATATATAAATATTTAAACAAAAAACCTCTATATGTATGTATGGACACCACACAGAGAAAGAAAGAAAGAGAGACGAAACCATTTGATAAACTATTTCACATTATTATACAGCATTGATACACATAACTACATAAATAATTGTTCAGCTATTTAAATGTTGAAGATGAATAGATTTAGTTTTTCCAGTTTTTGCGGATATAATTATAGGAAACAATTGTTAATTTTAATTCATAAAGTTATGTAGTTACTAGTTAATTTATTGCTCTTGGATATACATAATGGTGATAAATAACAATTTATTACTTAAAAAAATTGCACAAAATTGCATAAAACTTGCATAATATACAAATTAAAAAATAGTAAATTTCTTGTATTATTTTTTGGGTGGTTAACTAACCTAACCTAGCCTAACTACAAAATACGTAGTTGAAATACATCAAAAATACTGATTTTTAAAATGCAGATATAAATTACTTGGGGCAACCCTATTTGCTATGAGTCAAAATATGTCTGTACTTATATGTGATATGAATTAGTGAGCGTATGTTATGTATGTATGTACCTACATATGTCCTGCAATATAAATGACCAAGTTGCCGGTTTGTTACTGATTACAATTTCATGCCAGCTACATACACTAGAAATTTGTTCACTTCCGTTTGATTGTGTAGAAATATACGGAGTGGAGGGGGTAATTGTAATTTATTTAGTTAGTCCAAATAATAATATCAGCAAGAACAAAATTGCACAATATCCAATACTTGTTATACTCGGACTATACAAAATTATAACACTCAGTATTGGAGCTAATGAAAATTTGCTACAAACCCTGCCAGCCTTTAAGTCTCGTAATGATTGATGGCATTTCTTTATATGCATTTTTGGAAAAGTTGACGCGTTCCCTTACCATACACAGCTTAATTGTTTGCTAACGCATTAAAAAATATATAGTAAAATAAAATAACAAATTTTTATTCAGCTCACAGAAGGTAATATGACGTAACTGCTGTCTGACTCTGATAGATTAGGCTGAATCATCGGCGTCGGAAAGTAAGTATTCATACGTATACACGTTTATCAAAAAGCAGACAGGTTTACCCGTCCTGTACATACTTTAGTATTGCGAAAACGTCAAAACGAAGTGTGTGTACATACCTACACTGGCATTTGAACAGGAAATCAGCGAGATTACGTTATCAGGATTTGCAAGTTGCTCGTTGGCTCATTACTGGCATTTGGTAAAAAGCGTTCGTATGTATAAAACTCGTTTGCTCCGTGAATCAGTTTGATTTTGACAGTGAAATATTCCAGTTAAGTTTACCCTTATTCTCATTGAGCTACTAAACTTATTCTCCAGCTTTGTGTGCACTGTAAGTAATACATTACATATAAGTACAAGCCTTTTTAATAATTTAAGTAATAATATTTTTGATTCCAGGTCGTCCGTTGTAGAAATCGGGAAATTCAATTCGGTTGGCAATTACAAAATGTAAGTTGAAAATTGATTTGTCAGCATATTTATTATTTTCTTTCAATTTGACAATGATTTTTAATTTCATTGTAATTTATGTTGGCTAAGAATTTAAATTAAAGTATTCACCATCGTCTATATTACGCTGGTCATCAGAGTTGGCCAAAATACTAACACAACACAATTTTGTCGAATGTTCGTAAATCAGAGTTGCAGTATTTAAATACTAAAGTATTTAAATACTTTATTTAAATACTAAAGTATTTAAATACTTTATTTAAATACTAGATTTGAGTATTTAGTGTTTATTATTAAATACTTTGAGAAAAATTCGAGTATTTAAGTATTTAGTATTTAAATACTTTCCAGAAATTGAAGTATTTAAGTAATTAGTATTTAAATACAATTTATGATTGCATAATAGTTAATTATAGAAATCTAATAAAAGTTACACGCTAAACCTGGAAAATGTGTAAGAAAAGCACTAGGAACAACACTTTGATGTATTTTTGATCTTCACCAACCACTCGTGGGTGAAGAAAAATTAGAGTATTTAAGTATTTAATAAATATTTAAATACTATTTAAGTATTTAAATACTTTTTAAAAATCCAAGTATTTAAGTATTTAGTATTTAAATACTTTCCAGAAATTGAAGTATTTAAGTAATTAGCATTTAAATATTTTTATAGTATTGAAAACAACTCTGTCGTAAATACACGTTTAATTACAAAATACATTTCCGTTTTCTTCAAATGCAAGTTACAAAATACAAAATACATACATAATTGAAATAAAAAATACTCAATTAGGCATCATGCATAAATTATGTAACGCGGCGGATGCGGGGTGGCACTTGGGCAGCGTGACAAAATGGCCGCCCCCATAAGTTAATGCTTACGATGAGGACGTGTCAGCGGCTACGCTCGGATTATAATGGGATCAATTTTTATTTATTAACCACAAAAAAATAAGCCGACCCGTATTTTTCCTTTTTGTTTAATGCGCGCATTTGAGCGAGTAGCGTGCATTTCAAATATTTTTTCAGCCAAAACGTCCAATTTTTGAATTGCTATAATTTTTTGGATCTTAGCGCGAATTCAAAAACCTAGAAACATGTATGCTTAAAATTGGCTTCTTTACAATATAAAATTTCATTTTTTTAATTGTTTGAGAATTATAATTTTTATCCAAATTTCGAATTTTGAAAAATAGGAACTCCTACAAAAATTGCAATTTTTTAAAATTTAAAAAATGAAATTTTATATTGTAAAGGAAATAATTTTAAGCATACATGTTGCTAGTTTTTTGAATTCTTAAAATCCAAAAAAATATAGCAATTTAAAAATCAGACGTTTTGGCTGAAAAAATACTTTAAATGCACGCCACTGGCATTTCAAATTTATATTTTTTGTTGTGAATAAAACAAAATTGGTCCCATTACAATCCAACCCTACCCGCTGACACGTTCGCATTGTTAGTTGGGGGCATTTTATTTTAATGAGGACGAGTGGGTCTCAAAATCCCAATGTTTACGTGACATAATTTATGCATGATACCTTGCTTAATTTTTTTTTTTCATTTTACTTAATTTTTAACCCATTACACTAAGGCGCCGTCTATATATTACATACGTAACGCATAAATAAGGATTTTTAAACATATCCTTAAATGTACATTTTTACAAAATTACAAAGTTATTTCTAATTATGATTGATAAAACGTTACAGCATCTCCTTAGCTTGGTAATTTAGCAATCTTCAATTTTTCGTTGTTTTTAAATCTACATTTCTTTCTCGACCTACGGTTAAAATAAAATTCAGCAATGAAACTCTATTTTCTCCTGAAGGGAAATAAGCATTGTATCACCTTGTACAACTCATATTTATGTACATACCGTAATCAATTATAAAATGTACATACGCATTGATCATGATTTGCATAACATGCTCATTCAGATATCTTCTCACACCCCTTAACCTTAAAAATGGCAAAAAAGTGATCATATTCAGAATATTGGGTCCGAAATTTTTAATGATTGATGATTTGCGGTTGTTTTGTTCTTCGGTGACACATCTCATATTTCATTTGCCAAGTCAAAACTATTAAGATTTTTTATTGTTGTCTGCTTTTTTGTAGGGCCGGTAATTGGGATATATATGACCGCTTTTTCGACAACATATCTGATAACAAGGCCAACGATTATGAGGATGAAACGAGAGATGTTTGCTTTGTCGTGAACATGATAGGATACGTTCCATTTGAAGCGCAGGGAGACGAAGAGCCAGGGGTGGAAGGGCCAGCGGTGGAAGGGAAAGCGGTGGAAGGGAAAGCGGTGGAAGGGCCAGCGGTGGAAGGGAAAGCGGTGGAAGGGCCTGCGGTGGAAGGGCCAGCGGTGGAAGGGAAAGCGGTGGAAGGGAAAGCGGTGGAAGGGAAAGCGGTGGAAGGGCCAGCGGTGGAAGGGCCAGCGGTGGAAGGGCCAGCGATGGAAGGGCCAGCGGTGGAAGGGAAAGCGGTGGAAGGGCCAGCGGTGGAAGGGAAAGCGGTGGAAGGGAAAGCGGTGGAAGGGCCAGCGGTGGAAGCGGTGAAAGCGACAGCGGTGGAAGCGGTGAACGCGACAGCGGTGGAAGCGGTGAAAGCGACAACGGTGGAAGCGGTAAAAGCGACAGCGGTGGAAGGGAAAGCGGTGAAAGCGACAGCGAAGGTAGCGATAGCCTCTACACCCAGTGTATTCACGTACTCTACCCGACGCACCGAAGCTGCCCGGAAAAGGGTTAAGATCCGAGAAGTTGCTTTTCCAGACAGGCTGAAGGAATCCACTCGCCAAATTGCGCCATCACTTTTGACAAAACTAGAGAAGGAAGGAGTCCTCACTCAGGATAAAGAGAAAACTCATCTCTCCATTTCATTCCTGCTTAATACAATGTATTCTGTTTCATACGGAGATGAAGGCATGGGCATATACAATCACGAGACATTTTCAAATTGTCAAAGTTCCATCCCGTATCGTGTTTCGGTCGCGTTTTGGGAACCCACCTGGTTTCGAAGAAAGAATGAATTTGTTGAAGTTTCAGACATCACGAAAGTGGTAGAATATTATCAACATTTATCCGTTCAAGAAAAACTTCAGTTTTTGGCTGAGAATGAAAAGACTACCCCGTCCCATTTCAAGAGCTTCGAGAGCACCTCAAAAATCACAACAATACGAAACAATTGGTTAAAAACATACGAAAGGAGTACCCCGTGGAAACGCCGTGCTATCTGGTTGTGATGGATTCAGATACCGTGGATTTTAACCACGTTTTTAGCTCGTATTTGGAAATAGTTAATGCCGAAATGGCCAAGGAGAATGAAACCCCACCAGATATTATGTCAACCGGGTATATTTTTCCAGAACACCATGACACATACGGTGAAGGCATGTTGAAGGCTAGCCAGATTTGTAGAAAAATTCGTGCAATCACTGCCCAGCATATTCCATTAGGGACATACTATCCTGAACCAAATTTCTGCATATTAATTAAACCTGAATATCACACAGTTTCTGAAAGCTTCCTTCACCTAGATATGCCCCTCAGTAATCAAGAGTCCCGCGTAATTATTAAAAACATGAAGCAAAATCGTGGTAACCTTTCAGCCATATTTAGCTTTGAAGGGAACCCTTTAATCACACAGATTCCTGTACGCTGCAATAGTTATAAAAGTGGGGATAAAGAGAACCCGAAGAGGATACAATTTTCTCATGAATTTATGGGTAACGGGGAACCAAACCTCTTTGATTTGGGGGAAATGCGAAATATGTCGCAGCACAATTTAAATCCTCAAGTATGGTTTAGCAACCTTACTGGGAACGGGGCATTGGTGTTGTTAAAGAAGCAAAATGTATTTAATAGCTTAATGAATAAAATGAGAAGAGAACGTTACCACCAAAATACAAATTTGGTGGTGAACAACTTAATAAAGGAAGTGCTTGATGAAACTCCGGAATGTCGATCCCTCTGGTCAGCATGCACCGCCGTTGGAGAATATATTTCTATTAAATTCTCACGCTACAATGTAAGAAGTAGAATTTCCCACATTCTTCAGGAGCATGCCGTTGAAATAGCTAAGAAGAAAAACCGTAGACTCGCAGAATTAACAGAGTATCCCAAGATCTTTCAATTGCTTCAGTTTGACTGTGCTGTGACTGCAATTACTACGCTGCATTTTGAAAATTTGTATAATCTGGCGCGAGTTGTGGAATCAGATGCACCTGACCTTGATAGTTGTGGGTACACAATCGACGACTTGAAAAAAGTTACGCTAGATTCTAGACTACGCGAACCGTTTATAACATCTCCCATAATGGATGGGTTGACAAAAATTCGAGGTATTCTTTTGGGTGGGGTATTTGATATGGCTTTCATTTCCAACGGTCCAACACAAGCACTTTGTGATGCAGCGGAGGAAGCAGCTTCTTCTGATACATCGGAGGTGATGGATGCCTCAAAGTTGGAGGGCATGGTGGAACATGCATTGGAAAACTATGCAGAATGTATTAATTATACTTATATAAACGATACATTGGAGGGAGAAGTTCTACAAAAATTTATAGAAATTTTCGACGAAGCATTATGGAAAATGGGGGAGGAGGCTACTTTTAAGGGTGCTGCTGAATCTCAAGAAATTGACGAAACCGTTGGAGATCTTTTGGGTTATGGGACTGATGTAGATAGTGAAGGTTCCTTTTATGAAGAGCAGCAGGGGTTGCGAGATTATATAGATGATCTACGGGATAATTAAAATTGAGGGTGGATTGACATCTTTTGAAATAATTGATTCTAAATTTAGCTAAATTTGCATTTAGTTATGCAAATAAAATACTGTGCAATGTCTAAAATATTTTATTGTAGTTATCCAATTGTAAGTTATTTAAGAAACGTTTCAAAATTTTGCGTAGATTAATCAGTTGTTCTTATGTAAGGCTCTGTAATAATTATGTGATTAATTAAGTGTGCTGTTTCAATTTTGCATGCATTAATAAAATTGAGACTACATATTTATCACCTAATACATTTTTAATTAATACTCTACAATTTATTGCATAGAGGTCACAAAATAAGGGGCATCCGCGAAAGTGGGTGTAACTCAGGGACAGGCAACTCCACAAAAAGATTAGGGGCGTTAAAATGCATACGAGTTGGTGCTTGAGATGATGAAAGTAAATTAGGAACCAATCGGACGGATATCTTTTTCATTCCCACATCGTCAATTAACTTGGAAAAAATTTTATTTTACATTGATATTTAAAGCATGGACCAGTACTCAAACGACCTTTAGTAACACAAATCATCCAAATATTCACGATTCCATCATATCATTACAACATGTTCGTCGTATGGAAAAATTAATGGAAGAAATAACTATTTTACAATACTCAATACAAAACAATAACCATGAATACCCCCAGAAATATTTAATTTGCAACTTTCTTTCCGATTCCGGTTGAGACAGAGGCTCTTAACACGTGTGACATACAATAACATGTTCCACTATAACAAGCTTCACCAGTGCTCCCATGCAAGAAGCAAGACCCAGAACATGCAAAATCCCCACCAATCTGGCAACTTCGTGATTCTACCTAAATTTTTAATTCGCATTAAACCCAACCGCAAATGGGCGACAAAAATTTACGAATAAATATGTTACCTGTAATGCATTCGTCATGATGAAGATGTAGAGGAGAATTTTCACCGCAATCTGGGTTGACGTCATTATTGACTCAAAATCGACCGGAAATCAGGGTGATATCAGGGTGATGCTAATAATGGTAATTATGTATATGAGTCACAAATATACATGTATAAGTTCAATGAATAAGTTGGAAGGTTACCAGTTCTGTAATACATTAATTGATTCATGGGATTAAGAATTAATGACTACGGAATATAGCTGGGAACTTAATGCTTGCGGTAACAAAAACTTTTATTTTGGTTGATTCAATTGAAATTATTGAGCTTTTTGTCAAACAATATTAAACAATGGCAGGGGACAAGAAGGGTACAAAAAGCAAAAGGCTTTGCATTTTGCTGTAAAATGTAGCTTTTTTTGCTTATCAAAATCCAATGTTTTTCGCTGTTTACTTTACTGAAAAATTTGGTAACAGACCAAACAAGCAAACAAACAAACAAAAACATTTCCGTTCCTATGTGATTAAAAAGTTTGTGGTAGATTTTGTGCAGGGATCAATTATGCAAGTTAGGGCCTGGCTATTTTGAACAGAGAACACATTTACAGTATGTATATGCTGTTGTGCAAATAGAGTGCTTATGGAATATACTACACATACCTGTTAACAAGCCGCGGTTGCTTCTTCACTAAGCTTAATCTTGCCGGAAACTTAAATATATTTTTTTTGTAAAATGATCGGGTAATTAATCGTCACCGTGCGAAGTCACAATTAGCCTGCACTCAGCTGGGCATCTGTGACAAAACCCGGCTGTAATAGATTCCGGGTAATTTGAATTATTGCTCGATGGTGAGAAGACATTGCCGTATAGGAAAAAATTCTAATTTCCCGGAATTTATGGTAACTGTTTATACCAGAGATTGTCACCAACTCGGTCACGCCTTATGCTGACCCCGCACGATGAAGATTTATTTACTAGTAGATTGTTTAAGTGTATCTTACCTAATAATTTGTTTAGTTGAGTAGGATTCCTGGAGTAATTGCAGTATGTGATATCAATTGAGTCAGCTTGATTTTTATAAGGACAAGTTAATAATGAAAATATATTGAGTATTGTTAGTTTAACAACTGATTTTATATTTTAATCGAATTTATGAGAATCTGTGAATAAATAATACTGACAGATGTAACCTTGAAAATAAATATGTGGTTTAATTGACTTAATGAGTATGACCCACAAATCTATATAATATTAGTCCATTCTCTGTCTGTCTTTCCGTCTGGAACGCATCCCTTCAATGTATAAGAAAATGACTATTGAAGCAAAGATTGTCTGGGCACGTATAGCAAGACTTATGACAATCCTATTATGTACTAATCACTTGCATGGGTTAACAAAATTGGCTTAACACAAGTAGTGGCACCCATCTATCCATCTGATGGCGATCTGATCGTGATATGATCTGATTGCAGAGTAGTCAACCACTCAAATGTGGGATTCAGATATTATACATTCATTCAATTATAGTACAATAAAATATATCCCGTGCTCTACACGGGCTATTGCCTAGTACATAATATATTCTGTGGGAGAAGTACTGGGATCAAGAAACATTAAAAATTTTTAATTAGCTGTTAGATTCTGTCGAGGAAATGCAATATACAATTTTACTTGTGTCAGACGATACAATGGCAATATTAAGCTTCTAGTGTATAATTATTATAAAGTAATAATACTTGTTGTGTATGTATGAGTTTCTGATAGATAAGATAACTTGTTGCGTTGGTGTTTGATGTGTAAAGTGATATTTTTTCTGCGAATTGAGATTTGTAATGTAGAAAACCAATCAGTCTTTAGTAGTGGGGACGTACAAGGTACCATTGAATTAATTCGATTAAGCATGTGATCCGTATGACGGTCTAGTAAGGATTTATTAAATGGATTAGATGCGTAATATGTTGGCAGTTGGTCGGATGATTCTAGTACACAATACAAACTGTTGAAACATATGTATGTATTATATCTGCATTGGTGCAGTAGAACTAATATCCGAATTGAATTATAATTTCCAGAATGCAAAATAAGTTTTATGCAATGTGACCATTTTTCCATGAAATAGTTTATTATGCAAGAGACTGATTGGACATTATTTAACAAACGACATATTCATATATATTTATCACGCGCTAAAAAATATTGTGAATTGGGTCGTACTATGTTGACAAAGATTTTAGATGAAATGTCCTAGATGTATAACATTGTATAAGCAGTATATGAAGTAGATAAAAGCCAGTTCGATTACAAGTTATGCGGTAAATCCGACGCAAACTATGCAGTTTTTTAAGTTTTTTTTCAATTTGTTAAGCTTTTTTTTTAATTTAAAAATTTAGTTAAATTTTATTATAAAATTTGTTACACCGATACATAAATGTATCGTATTCACCTTTACTGTAACAAATTTGTACCGTGTTGTACAAATTAGATGCACAATTTATTTAGGAGTACAGGGTCCCCCAATCTGACGATGTCAATATATGTTGCATTAGAATATATAATCAGTTACCGTTTCACAAACTGAAAACTTTAAATTAAAAAATAAAAACTTATGATAAATTTTATAAAATCTCAAAATTAAAAATAAATTCTAAGTTTCTATTTTCTAATATAAAATTTTCAGGGGATGAAACGACAACTCATTATATATTCAACTAGCGAATATGCGCGTCTCACGACGGTCGTAATTGCAAGTTAGGAAAGCATTACATGCATGTCTTTCGTATACAATAGTTACTTTCGTGTTCTGATGTAAAATTTTGAGTGGGAGTGGGAGTGCCCACTTACAATTTGTATTCCTTAACATGGCGAGTGGGAGTGGCTACTCACACTCCCACTCGAAATTTTTGCATTTAGAATATGATTGTAATAAGGCTGCCAACAAAATGAAAGGCAGAAAAACTTTCCCTACCACTTCTCCCTCAGCCCCTAAAGTCCCCCAACCCTCCAGTCAAATTTACCGAACTACATAAATGCGAGTGAACGTTTAAATTGTAATATGTGTAATAGACATATAAATACATTTTTATACGCACAACCTTTTCAGGCTACTTCAAACCCATTAATAAACACTTGCAAAGTCAAAAACAAATATTGTACTTATGAAACCCCATATGTCTGACCTTTTGAAAAACAATACCAATTGAGACTTTCAAATTTTTGCATGACGGTCTAGCTTTTAGGAATTCCAATATTCCAGCAAAGAGCATCTCCGTTGCAAACATTGCAAATACCAAGCCTTCTAAATGGTAAGGACTGCCAGAAACTCATATAATATAACAAAAAACCCTAATTTACAGTGACACACGTTTTCATCTCTGACCTCAACAAACTGTCTGGGAACTTCGTAATAATTACAGGGACTTCAGTTATAAATTTTAGTTCATATTTTATAGGATTAAGATTAGCCCGACACAAAACTTAAAGCGTATTGTGGATATTGGGGGTGCTGCAGGCAACTGCTAAATGTATTTTACAAAATGCAAAATGTTACGTATTAATGGATTTTGATTAATGGATTTTTCCATTAACGCATTGCAATCTATTTAGCAACTTAAGGGAGCATTCCTGCCTGTACATTTACATCGATGGCGATGTTATCACAGAATTAATTTCAACTTTTGTCACCTTTCTTCTGGTGTCCGAATTCAGGTTAATATCAATGCATATATTAGTCCTTTTCTTCAGATTTTCAAAATAACGTTTCGGTTCGGATATTCAGTCAAACAATCAATTGTAAAATGATTTAAGAAATTTACATTTAGACAAGTTGAGGTTTATTTACATATATAGGTTACAAACTCATTGTTTTATGATCTGCATAGTTTGAATTTTTGCAACACGTTATTTTACACAAATTTTCCTTTCGTAATCCTCTCTCGGATTAACCACTTTGAATTAAATTTCCTTCGTAAATCGGCAACACTGTGAACACCTTTGTATTTTAAATTAAGCTTCTTTCGCTAAAGATAAAATAAGGTATAATTAATCCGTGTTTCAAAAATATAGATTGCATTACCTGAACTCGCCCACGATGCACCAATCTTCTGGAAGCCTTATTTCCTCCGGCGGATTGACATCGCTTCAACATTCTTTTCGCCGCTTTATACTGTAGACATTACACTTATCAAATGTATTCGGGATTTGCTGGAAGAGTTCATTTTACCTCGGGAGTTCCTTTAGCATGCCCATTTAGTCTACCCCTGTCGCAGACAGTGGTTGTAAAAAATTTGTCATCTTTAATGTTTTCCTACTCAGTCAATTAAATTTTCAATTAATTCACATGAAGAAAGGACTATACAACTGTATAGTTCTTTATAATTATCATACAAACCCCTAGGTGTTTGTGTATAATAATTATAAAATGAACCTGGCTTAGCCGTGGAGCGTTTTCAGTTAGTGGTTCTGATTTAACTTTAATATGTCGCGGAAGAAGCCAGTTTTTGACTTTTTCCACAGCGAGACCTTTCTTGGCGGATTCATTGTCCCAATCTTCGAAGTCAAGTGTTCCCAAGACTTCATTAACTTCTCTCATAGTATCCCTACAAGGTTCGCAAGGTGTTTTTGACGTGGCAATTTTCGTCGGCTTTCCCTCACCGCGTAAGAACATGTTCAAGGAGTGTTTCAACAGTGTCATTTCGGCATGTGGTGCTCGCATGGCTGTCATCGTTTCCGGCTCGAAATCAGATTCCACAAGATATATTTTGTTTAATCCCTGCCGCCCAGATTGTGCTGACCACTGTTAAAGAGTGTAAGCTCATACAAACGAAAAAAAAACAAACAATCGATTTTGCTTGGATAAATCATTAAATCAGCTTTGCCGATCGGCACTTACAGGGGACTAACAACTTGACAATTTTCGTCGAAAATAGCTAAAATACTTTATAAATTATTGACCTACAAAACTGGATTTAGATACTTTTGCGATTTTAAATAAACTAAATATATGGATAGGATTTATTTAACAAGTTTGAAGGTATTTCATATTCGCATACCACTGGGAATGGGTCAAATGAATTTCTAATATAACCCAGGGCTTATATGCCAGTAATGTCTGTCTCTCCTGTCCATCTAAGGATGACACCTTTACTCATATATTATCGGTTTGAATTTCTTACTACATGCACATTCACCACAAAAGTAAGGAACTGAGTTTCGTTCGGTCCGGTGATTGAGGTTATAAAATCGAATGGGATTTTTGTGAGAAATTTCGAGATAATTTTTTAGGTGAGCTCATTTAAGGACTATCGAATTAAACAGAACACATTCCTTAACTACTATAAAATAACGTCTCAACTACTTATGATGGCATATTTAGTACATATCGGATATGAATGTATCTGCCGAAGTATCGTCAGGGTTTTGAAAACCCTGGAGGCATTAGCCGTTAGGAAGATATTACAAAAATTTAAAAAATATCCTAAAGCAATTTTCCTTACCTTCTGAATAGTATCAACAATAATATGGCGATGCTCTTGTCGAATTCCAAATTCCAAGTTATTTTCTTTAAGGATGCTCTTAAGTGTGGGATCTTTTACTTTCTTTATATTAGAAGCGACATGAAAAGAAATTTCACCGCTACTGTTCTCCATTGTTAACAAAGCAACAGTATCCGCGAATCTCTCCTGCTTCAAAGTTTTCTTAAGCTTTTCCATGGCTTTGAATTCCTGAGCGCCCTCGGACCTGGATATGGCATCCAGATATGTACGATGATCGAACGCAAAGATCTTGTCGTGTATGTCTTCGACAAGATCTTGGAGATTGGGTTCCTAGATTTTTAAATTAAACAGGTTTTGTGACCTACTGACTGCATAAAAAATATAAACAAGATTGTTCGACAATATGTAGACACTACCTGTGACTGGATTACTGCCGTGAACCCATTTCCCACAAACAGTAGTAAGAAAATGACTGCTAGCTTCATTGCTTTATTAATTGTTGCTCGTACACCCTTGAGGTACAAAACTCTTTACAAGACTAGCGATGCCAGAACGTCATAGCTCATACGCAACTGGCCGTGGTCGGTTTTGTTTGATCCCATGGATGATATGAATCTACTAATACAGGAGATCATTTATGGCATGATAGTATTTACTATGGGGGTACTCAATATCTATTTTTGCTAAAGGCAGGATGTGCCTAGTCTTCTAGTACACATGCATACAAAACTATGATTATTTGCATAACTTCGTTTATTTATCATGGGCTGATACATTTATTTCCATTAAATCATTTGGCTCGTGGTAATCATTGAACAAGTTCCGACGATTTTTTTTACATAATTACTCAATCGCATGATTACTCAGTCAAAAATAACAAATTCAATACCCCCTATACTCTCCTCTCGCATGGCTAGCATGTGTGTAAAATAAAATGATTTTTCAACTCAATTATGGTCGTTCAAAGCTGATAAGTTTACAACCTCGGAGATATTTTAGTACACATAATCTGCCGGTGATTTTGTCTGTGATTGTGATACTCAACAAGTATTGGGTGGTAAAACAATATACAACAATTTAGATGTGTCCCACATGCTAATAAACAAGAACATAACATAGTGTTATCCGATGTAAACTTACAACTAAAAATTGTCAATTTCTTATTTGGAAATAAATAGATCGGTTTGTTACATTTGAACGAATAATTTTATTACATAAAAGTTAAATGTATCTACGTACATATTTATAAGGTACTTTACTAGCACATCAATAATTGGAATAGAAGGAACGGATGTTATTCTTATCCTTAAGTTTACAATCCAGCACATTTAAAATCAAAATAAGACAGTCAGTTGGTCAGTATCAACGGTAACACGTCCAATAAAAATGTGACACTATTATTTATGACACGCATACCTAAATATGAACTTTTGCTAGGATAGTTTGTAATTCCGCCGACAAATGTTAGCCTACCAAATATGTCGTATTAATTCTATGTATAAATATTGCTTATATGTATCTGTCCGTATTTGTAGGTTTTAACGAAAATCATAATCGTTCCGTGTTGCCATGCATATTCCTAATTGTGAAAATTTCGTGTAATACTTACAATGTATTTGTGTGTTAGTACAGTATACATAATTTGTGTTTCTGATCAGTATGATTTCCGTCGAATCTTTCCCAAAATTTTGAAAATTTTGCAATCCTTCATAAACTCCATAGGTTACGATTCTCAGTTAGCGTGTAGTTGCACTTCTCTCGCGCATCCGAAAACCTCTCTCATCGTAAACTCTGTAGCCTGATGTGCCTGGAAATACAGGTATATTCCATTGCCATCCATCAAACTGATGGTCCCATTGCATATGAATGGAAATGTGTTCCAGAGTGAGGGCCTGTTTTTGTAAAAAGTTGCATAAAATGGTTGGTAGTTCATCTACCGGATCTCCATCACAAACCAGATGAATTGGATCGAGCTCAAGTTTCTTTAAACCGGCGGGAATATTTAACAGATATTTCACCGCTTTGACGTGAAGTGGCCCGTAAGTCGCCAAGTGATACAGTGATCTAGAAATTAATTAAACTTAATTGGTATTTATCCAGGTAAAGTATCACAAAGACCACTTACCCTGGTGAAAATGATTATAAATAGAATTGGCCAGTTTTTATGCATAGCAGTTTATGCAGATGAAACGTGCATGATTCTGCATAATTCGACAGAATTTCTGCATTTTGCATTCGACATAAACAATTATGCATAATTTGCTGTGCATGAAAACAAATATATGTATATACAGCTTTATATATAAATATACATATATATATAAATATATATACATTTTGGTATGTTTAAAAATATTAACTTTTTTATGTAGAAAATTTTATGCATAAATTTTGTTTCCAATCTTAGAAAGTTGTGCATAATTATGCATAATTATGCACATAGTCTATATATAAAAACGGGCCAACTCTATGCCTGGTCATTTTCATGCGAGATTCTCTTACGGAATTAGAGGACTGGGTATGATCTCCATCATATTCAAAAGCTCATTAAAAATGCGACAGTCAATTTTTAGGTGTTTTAGCCCTGGGAAAGACTGCGTAATAGCTTGAAAAAGATTTCGTTGGTTCTTGTTTTCATATGTGTGCCTATAATCGACTACCAGCTCCCTCAATTGGGGAACACGAGGCCATCAAGTAACAGAAACTTGAAGTTATGTCCCGATTGGTATCCGGACACGACGATTAACAGTTTTTCCAGAGTGGACGTAGAACTGAACATAATTTGGTTACACAGTTACGTTTTCCACGCTAATTGAGGTCCCGTCTCGTAATAAATTATAATGGATTTAAGATTTTGCACAGCTGGGAGAATTCATGGATCCTGTGTTGTGCTGCATTGTATACAGTTTCCGGTTGGATTTCTAGATGAAGGTTGACCGAGCAGAATCCCATTCTTTCTATGAGTTCACCCCATGAGAGTTCGTCTTGCCGTGGAGAATCACACCGATGATATGCAGGTTGAAGGCGTATTTTTACCATTGCTTTCCATTTTAGAGCAGAGGTCGACGTCGACAAATTTTCGGCGGCGGCGACGCCAAATTTTGGTCATTTTGCGGCGGCGCGGCGCGGCGTCCCAATGTTAAAGGTATAGGGAATCGGATCCATCGGCGGCGGCGGCGCCTAAAATGCTACCGGCGTACGGCGCGGCGGCGGCGCGAGATCGGCGGCGTCGACCTCTGTTTTATAGCCGGGGTAGCAATGTAATTCCAAGACTTGCAGACTAATCGGCATTGCTTTATATCCCTGATACAGAGGAATTGGCAGACGTGTGGAATTACTTATTAAACACGCATTATTAACACAATGCGTATTTAATTACGCTTCCGAAGGTCTATCAATCAAGTCGAGAAAGGCAGAGGGGTCAAGATGTAGTTATGCAATGGGACAGTAAGGCGATGCCTATCGTATTTGGACGACAAACTATAATTTTTCAGAACAAATTTCTTTTGGAAAAGAGAAGGACCTTTAAAATTCCGAGAATTTTGAGTATGGTGACTGGTCCAAAAAATATGTACGGTTAGGTCGATTGGCCGAATAAAACGGCAAATTCATACTGTTATCATTGCAAAACTACTTATTGGCAAATTTGTCTAAAATTTTACGTGTAAAACATTATAAAAAATTAATTTACATCATGAATTAGAAAAGGTCCAGAATCTAGAGATCCAGAATAATCCATGGGGCACCCGCCCTATAAAAAAATTAATAACAGTTAAAAAGTTAAGTTAATGAAATAAATGAATAAAATAAAAAGTATAGAACAATTTACTACAAATTTTCCGTCTGCAATCATCATCAAATTACTGTATCCAACTTATTCAAGTCTGCATATACACGAAATCTTAAGAACCACTTAGTATTTCTGAGCTTGATGTATATTTGAAGTGAGCACCCCCAATTCACCATGCATTCACTTGTTCAAGTTAGATCTTGGAACATGTAAAGTAAAGCATGTGAAGTGGGAGAGAGGAAAGTACGCCTTACCCGGGTTTCATTGTGAATCTTCCGACTTTGGGTATAATTGACGATAACCATAACATTCGGCCCTCATGAGCACAAGGCGTACTTTCTCCCTCGACCTATTTCACCTACTTGTGGAATTCAGTTCAATAGCTGCCATCATTTCACACTATACATACGCACTTCTCAGTTACCTAAAAAATTTGCGAAAATGACATCCGACGATTTTTCAAATTTACTTGGTTATACAAAACTGATTTTATTTATTTGCATGGTAAACCTTATACCAAATTTAAAATCAACTTCCTTCACAGAAATGTGAAATTATAGACTTGCGACTTTCATTTTCAGCTCGCACAGTTAAACCCCTTGGGTTGGGCATTTACGTTGTTTTTCTTTCTTGCTGTCCTGGATTTGTCTGCTCATGCCTGCGGCATCGATGTGTTGATTACCAACTGGAATCAGGTAAACTACCAAGAAAGCAATTTTTTTTAACTCTTTGCATATTTACGTTTTCTACAAATTTTAAACGACATTAAGAGGAAGTTCGATAAAGCATGGGCACGAATGCAATTTATTTGCCTCGTGGACGAAGTAACAGTGTGGTGGATTATGTACGCTGTGGAGTCTGGAATTGAGTTTGGGCTTTATGAATCCGTCCTTCTGGTATTCTTCTTGCTTCTCAACACGTACGAACTATGGATGTTACATTTTGCTGTCAGGGAAATCCGGCGAATAATGAAAGGAATTTAAAGGAATCTTTTCAAGTGCGTCGGATTGGATAGATTAATACTCATACCTAGGTAATCATCTGTACATATAAAAAATTTATCGTAATATTTAATTTTTGATTACTTAGACATGTATATATTTACATATACTTTCTCCAATATTCACATATAATGGTTGACAGTAACAATAAAATTAATTGTATTGGAACTTAAAACCGGAATAAATTGTTTATAATTAGTTTAGTTAAACTTTAAGTTTCATTTTTCAGAAAGTTGATCACTACCAATAACAATAGCGATAAGAGGCCACTAGTCGGTCATATGAATGTGTATGCATAGATCGAAGTACTCCGGCCTTGGAGTATGTCCTCTGGCTTCCGGAGGCCGGAGTTCACGGCTTTTTCCGGACTGCAGTACTCGAAGGTCGGAGTAAACAAAGTATCCGATCTGTGAATGTATGCTGCATTTGTATTTGTAATATATTTAATTGTATATATAATGAGCTTCTACATACATACATATGTAAGTATACGATAAGAATATGCTTATGTTTACATAAATATGTATATTGAACTTATGTATGTATGTACCAACTCTTTTTGAAAGATTTTGAAAATAAAATTGAAATAGTTACATACATATGTTTACTTATTTGCAAAAGGTTTCTTGGCTCGCTTGTTAATAAATGCATTTGCATATACTCATCATTCAGGCACGGTTGAGTCTGTCACAAATTTAAAACTCTGAAGAATTTCTCAACTTTAAATCTC